CAATTGGAAAGGAAAAAAAAAATTGCACTCTTGGAAACCCTATGGGACAGTTCTCTGTCTTACAGGGTTGCTATGAGTTGGAATCAACTTGATAGCAGTGAGTTTTGGTCTAGGGTGGAAGGAGATGGATATAATCATCCTGCCACCAAATAGCTAGTTGGTCTCCACCAAGGACGTAGCATAGCAAGGATTTATCACTGGTCTCTGATGCTGACAGACTGAACCTTCAGCAGCAATAGTAGCTAGGAAAAAAAGTACTGCAAGGAAATGTATTTTTCTTTTCCTTGTGAAAGCTATATTTATTAAATGTTTAGGTTTTGGCCAATAATTTTGTCATTAAAACAAAATATCTATCAAATAGATATTTCTCAATTGGCAAAAAATCACAAGGGGACACACCCTTCAAACTCAGTTGTTGATGGCATTCTGCACTTGACAGTAAACCTATAATATCAGTTAAAACCAACTTTTAAAAGTTATAATCTCCACAACTACAGTGTAAAAACATCCTCTAAAGGAATAAAATGAAAGAATATAGGGCAAAATTTACTTATTTTTTGATCATAATACTATATATACTACATTTTGAAATTTTTCAATAATACTCATACAGACTGTAGGTTGATAATACTAATTGCTTAGTTTAGAAATTGAAAGAACAGAAGAAAAGGAAAAAGTGATATTTAAAGATAAAATTTTATCAACAATTATATTTAACATTAAGTAGAAACTGACTAAAAAATGTATGGAGACATTATGTTGAGAAGTGGGAAGGAAACTATAATGCCACCCTGAAGTTCAGAAACCACACATGCAGCCACAGTTTGCATGAAAAAAGAATAATTCACAAAACCATGGCTTTCAAAAATAGCCATGAATAAGGGAAGTCACATCTGAAACATTGCAAGTACTTTTATATGTGTATATGTGTGTAATCATTTAAAAAGCACAACTAAAAAGGAAATCTATTTATTTCTTTTCTCTTCTTAACTAAGCATTCAGTCTATAATCAGTTGGCTAGCATGAAGTATTATTAAGGCTCTATTTTTACAATTCTCGTGTTTATAGGTTTTGTATATTACACAGTAGGTTTCTTTTTAATGCACAAATTGGTTATTTTCTTTTATGCTTCTTGTATTAAGTCAAACTATAGCTCTGCTATTGGCATAATGGTCATGATGCAAATGGAAACAAGAACATTTCAATCTTCAAAATGCCTTTCAATTTTACTGTATTTGACTCTATCACATTAAAGTCTCATTTATCAAAAACAGATTTTTTAAAACTCATTAAAGATAACTGAGTTTATATCCGATTGTAAAAAAGTAGACAAAAAATCTTTATTTTAATGTTACTACTTTAGAAAAAATACATTAAAAGAAATTATTTGAATTGTAACTATCAAATTAGTAATTTAAAAATTCCCTTACTGTGAGAGAAGAGCCACAGATACAAAAACACACCACCACTTGGAAGGGAAAAAAAAAATGAAGATTAATTAAGAATTCTATATTAATGGTTATTACTATACCTTTCTGTAATCTTTCATTTTCCAAAAGGCATAGTGATAACCAATATAATTTTGGCATTAGTAAAACTTAAATGTAATTAAAAGAAAATAACACAAAAACAGTAAAACATGAGCAAAAGCTATAAGCAGATTACTCACAGAAAAATATAAAAGGCCAGGTTACAGGTAGAAAGTGGTTCAATCTCACATATGTTTGGAAAAGACAAGCTATAACTGGGAAATTTTTTTTTCCATTCATAATTTTAGATATTTTAGAAAATTTGATAAGAACCATTTAGTAAAAGTGTACAGAGAAACAAGCACTCATAGACAGTAAAATGATACAGATAAAAATTATAGACAACTTAAATCCATCTCAGGAGAGTGAAGAAATACATTATGTAACCATGGAAAACAAGTAATAAATCTACATATATTGACATATTAAAAGTACCAAGATGTACTGAATAAAAACCATATTGTAAAACAATATATTAGAAATTTCTCCCATATAATTGTTAAAAGATAGACTCAGACACACACACACACACACAAACACACACACACACAGAATGAGACTATAAGGACACACACTAAAGTTTTTGCCGTCATTCTTTCTGACAAGAGAAATGAGATTTAGAGTGAATGAAAAGGGGATCTTTCACCTGATTATTATATACGTTTTATAATATATCCATTGCAACAAGAATCTTTAGATATATTATTTATACAAATCTCTTTTAAAAGAAAGGAAGAATAGTGTGATGTCTTTCCAGAAAACCAAGAAAGTAGTTACATGCTTACCTTAAACACAGCCTGAGGATTTCAAATAGAAACTGAGGACCCACCAAGAACAGTTCTAATTTATCATTTTACTTAAGGACTAAGTTTATTTACAACTGTACTTTCGCATAAATGGTTTTATAGGCCTATGAACTAAACTAAAGGTGAAATATAATTTTGGAGTAGGATTGGGTTTTAGGGACCATCCAGATCTAACCCCTCATTTCATTCATGAGAAAACTGAGTAAAATAAGAGTAACTTGTCCCAAAACAGCCAACTCATTACAAAACCAGTGTGTTAAGAGGAAAAAACTCAAGCTCCTAGTTTCTACTCCTGGCCTCCAGTAAATTAAATTTATCTCATCTTAAAAAAAGAAAAAAAACAAATTCACTGCCATTGAATCAATTCTGACTCACAGTGACCCCTATTGGGTTGCCAAGGTTGTAATGGAAGCAGACCAGCCCAACTTTCTTCTGTGGAGCAGCTGGTGGGTTTGAACCACCAACCTTTTGGCTAGCAGCCAAATGACTACACCACCAGAACTCCTCCTTATCGCATTCTAACTACAGTGTAAATATCACCTGATTAAAAAAAGTATCACATTTATGGATTGAATCTAGTAGATGTTTCACACAATTTACGTGGTGAAGGAATTTTGAAGCTGCATCTTGCCTAAGGTTCTGGCTGCTTCTGTTTTTAAGAAAATAAAACAGGTTAAGTGACTTACTATAGTCACTGAGTTAGAGTGTACAGTGGAACCCAGGTGCTATAGACTGAGTTGTGTTCCCCAAAAATATGTGTTGCAAATCTTCACTCCTATACTTGTGAATATAATCCCATTGGGAAACGGGTTTTCTTTGTTATGGTAATGAGGCAAGATTGATGTAGCCTGTGTTTTGAAACATGAAAAGAGCAGAGTAGGCACAGAGAAGCAAGCACAGTTGGAGGAGGAGAGATAGATATCAACCCACATGAAGATCACCCAGGAGCAGAATCTCAAAAGAGACAAGGGCATTTTTCCAAAGCCGACAGAGAGAAACAGCCTTCCCCAAGAGCCAGCATCCTCAATTCAGACTTCTAGCCTCTAAACTGTGAGAAAATAAATTTCTGTTAAATACCATTTGTGGTATTTCTGATATAACATCACTAGATAACTAAAATACTAGGTGTCTTGACTCTAAAGCCTTTGTTTTTCTGCATTTCATACTCATTTTACTTTAAAAAAAAAACAAAACAAAAAACTAGTGTTGTCCCACACAAAAAATACCCACTGGCTAACCAAGTTACTTTGGTCAAGTCACCAAACTCTTCTAAACTGAAGTTTCTTCAGCCAATAAATGACAGGGATCGATTAGGTAAACTCTAATGTTTCTTACTCCTTTCCTAGAGTCTGGAATGCATCATTTGAGGTTCAATATGCATTAGGTAATGGCACCCAGCAACAAAATGAAATACTGCAGTCCAGCCCAGAGAGATCACTTTTAAAGAGCTACACAGAAAATATAACAATCAAAGAGAAGAGAGAAATTCAGGAACTCCTTAGCTTTAACACAGACTTGGAGAGGTAGAACTAGACCATGAATCTGTGGTTTACAATTCACTGACATGTTTAAGGTCATTGTAAAAAGCAGAAAGTCACTATGTGCCTTAATTATACACCAAACACAGAGTTCCCAGGAAGTTACTTCTACAGCACTTTAGTGTTCAATTCCTATTATTCCTTCCATTAATAAAAATGCATCCAGTATATATTACAACTAATAGAAAATTATATAAATTATATGCCATTAAGGCCAAGAATTTAGTTTCCCTTAAAAATAGCATTCAACAAGATAATAGTAGACACAAAAAGAATAATTAAGACCTATGTCTGATTCTGATAAATTTGAGTCAAGTAGAAATATAAATACAAACAATCATTTTTGAAAAGTCACCAGAAGTAGACCTCAAAGTTGTGCTCATAATTCATGTGTTAGCTCACATTTCACCACCAGGTAGTTCTTCTTAACACACATGTAGTTAGTACTATTATTCATTTCTTCAAAACCTCAGTTCAAATAACTCCTCACACAATATATGTATATAACCTCTTCAAATTAAAATAATTTTCTCTATAATTATTCACTCTGTTCTTCCTTCAGATAAATAAATTTAATTCTTTTCTGTCAATAATCTGTTTTTTCTTTCTCTGCATGCTTGAAAAGTGTATCTTTCCTAAAGTGGCACAATACTTTATTGAAGGCCTGAAAAACAGTGCTCATGATTCTGAGAAAGTAAGTGGATGTTATTGTCATTCCTAGAATCCTCCACTTATCCCCTCAGTTGCATGTTTATAGAGTTGAAATAAGGCTTATCATTCAAACTTCTAAGTGGACTTCTGTAAATTCTAGGTAGAGGAAGCTTTGGAATGAAAAATGCTTTAAGTAGGTAAAGTCTAAATTTTGGCAAAATTAGTAGGTTAGCAGAATGCTTAGCTAGCTAACTCCTTCCTTGCCACTACTATGAATATGGGCCGGAGGGAGAGCATATGATTGGACATGAGGAGATCTGGAGAAAGACTACAAGAAAAGAGTTGATAACTGCTCTGGGTCTCTATGCCTGGAAAAAGGTACAGTGGCACAAATATGGTACCATCCTCATAAAGCTTACAGGTCAGTAAAATTACCTTTGTTTACAAAGATGTCACTTTCTTAATGTTATACTTACTGATGAACTTGTTTTGCATAGTCTCCAACAGTGCTTGGTGAGCATCCTCAGCTTGCAATGCATGTGAACATTCTCTAGCCAGTATGGTGCGAACAAGATGCTCTCCACATCCTAGAAATCCAAAGAGGCCAAGAATGGTTCAGGAAAGAAGTACTAAACACCCATTCATCTCACTGGCATTAAAACACCTTTACACATCACTTAAGAGGTAGTTATGTTATGAGTAGTTATGAGAAAAATTCAGTGATGGATGAAATGATTTTTATAAGCACTCTAGTAATTTTAGTAATGAGATTCGGGAGAAAGTAAAGAAATATGGGACTAGCTAATTTCAAAAGTAAACAAAGGAAAATTAAAGGAAAACCCTTTTATAGTAATGATTTATATAATATAGAAATTCAGATTTTCTACCTAGGAATTAACTAAGGTTCTGCCTCATTTCCACTGCTGGGCAACTAGAAAAGACCCTTAGTTTTTTTTTTTGTGTGTGTGTGTGTTGCTATTTGTTGTTTATAAAATTAATTAATTCATTATTTGATTATATTCCATTAGCATCAGTCAGTGAACAACTACATGTGACTATAGGCCACAGCCATTTTTCCTCAGGTAACCCACACACCTGGGCACAGGGGTATTCTAGGCAGTCAGGGGCAACCTGAATTTCCCCACTTTTTCACTGGAATGCCTGCCACATATCATACCTTCATATAGTAACTGAACTACTTTCCAGGAATTAATAATTCTGTAGTTTTTTTTTTTTTTTTTTTCAAAAAAAGGTACATTTTTAACCCCCTAATGTGAACTTGGACCATTTGGACACACAGTGACAACACAAGGATGGGTGCCGCCTAAAACTATAATTTCTACCAGTGAAAAGCAGAAACTATCTGCCAAAGTAGGGACAAAATAAATTTAATTTATAGGCTAATAAGTTCAAATGAAAGTTTTAAGAGCCTTCCTTTTTATAAATCGTCACTGTTCTTAGGTGCCTTTGAGTCGATTTTGACTCAAAGGGATGCCATATGACAAAGGAAACAGACTCATTGGGTTTTCTTTGTTGTAATCTTTACTGAAGGAGCCCTGGTGGCACATGGTCAAATGCTCTGCTAACTAATGGTTGATGGTTTGAATCCACCAGCCACTCTGAGGAAGAAAAGACCTGGCAATCTGTTCCTATAAAGATTACAGCCTAGGAAGCCCTATTAGGGCAGTTCTGAACTCTGGTAGTGTAATGCCTAAGGCATTTGACTGCTAACCAGAAGGCTGGCCGTTCAAACCCACCAGCCCTCCTAGGAAAGAAGGTTGGGCAATCTACTTCCATAGTGATACCACCTCAGAAACCCAACGAGGGGTCACTATGAGTCGGATCCAACTTGACAGCAGTGAGTTTGAGTTGAGTACTCTGTCTACAGACTGGACTATGAACCTGAATAGACTCCTTGGTGGGCACCACAACAACAATCTTTATAGAGGCAGATCACCAGGTCTTCGTCCCAAGGAGCTACTGGGTGGATTCGAATATCTTACTTTTTGGTTAGCACCAGAGCTCCTTTTTTTTAAAGAAATAAAAAGTATGAAAAGGCTGCTATGATAAACATTGGAGGGGTAAGCAATGCTAAATGCTTATTCAAATGTTTTTTGTATATAAGTCAATTTCCCTAAATAAAATCTGCTACCCAAATAAGAACAGTTAGATGCACAAGATCATTATAAAGTTTGCTTCATTAAAAATGATTTCTGTCAATAGTGTTACATTAGCTTATCAAAAAAATCAAGTCTTCCATTAATTCACAGGAAAGGGTATCAAATGATGTATACAACTAATAAGATAAAAAGAGAAGTATGCCACCCACTCTATGGTCAGAAGATCACGGCAAAGACAGCATCTCAAGTTTCCACTTAGATTCCTCAAGAGGACCAAGGAGAAAATGACGACAACCGTTTTCACATCACTGAGAATGCACACACACATACACATGCACACAACACTGATAAGTAGGGGAGGGGTTTTTTTAGCAATAAAAAAAAAATGTGAGTTACAATGGTTAAATGCAATGACCTCTTCTAAATAATGTTTTAAAGTTTTTAAGTCTGTGTAACTAAAACCAACACTATAACTGATTTGATACACAGTTCTATTTGTTCTTGTTGTTGTTGTGTGCCATCGAGTCGGATCCGACTCATAGAGACCCCTCCTTGGGTTTCCGAGGCAGTATCACTACAAAAGTAGATTGCCCCAGCTCCTTCCGAGGAGTGGCTGGTGGGTTTGAACTGCCGGCCTTCTGGTTAGCAGTCAAGTGCCTTAGGCACTATGCTACCAGAGCTCCCACAGTTCTATTTGCTGGTATGTATTTTGACAGAAGTTAAGTGCAAACAAAAAGTCTCCCTAAGAAAAAATATCTGCATTTGTTAAACCAAGCTGGTGCCCTCTGTTCAGAACTTTTCTATGCATATTTGCCCCTCTCCTCCCACCTCTTCCCTTTACTTCTATCCTCCTTTCGCCTCTACTCTTTCTCCGTCTATATATGCATATATATATATATCTGTATAGATTACACATAAATGTAAATTATATATTTTTGCTAAAATTTCAAATAATTCAAAAAAGTGAAAGTTTTAAGGTTTTTTTGAAAAATTCCCTGCTATTTTTCCTGAAATAATTTCCTTGAATTTTTTGGGAAAGTGACACACAGTGATAGACAGAGATGGGAAAGAGTGCTGCCTAGAATTCTATTATAATTTCTACCACAGAAAAGTAAAAACTGCCTGCTAAACTAAGGATAAAAGAAATTTAACTTATAGCCTGTAAGTTCAAATAAAAGATTTTTTTTTTTTTCTTATCCTTCAGAATATAAATATCTAGTTGTGAATTCTACTTAGAGAAAGAACTACAACCATATAAAAAATGTGTAACTTTCTGGGAAGGATTATGGGCAATCTTTACGTGGTTAAATTTTTGCAGTATTATTTTTACAACTAAGAAAAAAATGACAATAAAGCTAACAGGAAATAAACCATTCTTGACACTTACTATGTAGAGACTCTGCTAAATTCATGAAACCCCACAAATGTTAATTCCCTTTATGCACATATTTCATACATTGAACAATGAAACATTATACTTTAAGACAATAATAATTGTTAAGAAATTGGCATGTTATAAGCTAAATGAATGTTCAGAAGGTTATGTACACATGTCTCAAGTCAAACAGCAAAGCCACATGAAGTTAACATTATATCAAAAATACAGAGTATGTCAGGGAGACTTTTTCCTGTATTATTATACAGGAATATATAGAGTTTTCTAATGACTGATTTTTACCAAGAAACTTTTAAAGTTATAACTTCTATTCTCTGACATACATCACCTCTAACATAACAGCCATGGCACCAAAAACTTGTTCTGCAGATTCCAATCAAAGAAAAGTTTGGCTTCTTTGGTTTTTACCCACAAAATTCCAAGGTTTCTTTGAATATACCGCCATATAGCTGATGTATGATTCAAAGTGTGATTCCATTCTTTACTCACAGATGATAGAAATAAGACTTCAGTCCCATCCTCCCTTTGTCCTCACACTTTCAATATTGCTTTGGCTCTTCAGGGCTCTTTCCTTTCCATATAAAGTTGATCATGAGTTTTTTCATTTCCATAAATAATGCTATTGAGATTTTATCCAGATTGCTGTGTATCTGCAGATAGCTTTGGGTAGTATTGACATTTTTACTATGTTAAGTCTTGCAGTCCATGAGCACAGAGTATCTTTCCATTTATGTAGTTCTCTCTTAGTCCTTTATGGTAATGTTTTATAATATTCATTGTGTAAGTCTTTTATGTCCCTGGTTAGGTTAATTCCTAGGTATTTTATCATTTTGTGGCTCTTGTAAGGACCCCTGGTGGCACAGTGGTTAAAGTGCTCCACTCCAGACCAAAGGGTTTGAACACACCAACCGCTCCTTGGGAAAAATGTGGCAGTCTATTTCTGTAAAGATTTACTACCCTGGAATCTCTGTAGGTGTACTCTATCCTGTAGGATCACTATGAGTTGGAATCAACTTGACAGCAATGGAATGAAGAAGTCTTGATGGCACAATTGCTAATCGCTCAGCTGTTAATCAAAAGAGTGGCAGTTCACACCTACTCAGCAGCACTGTGAAAGAAAGGCCTGGTGATCTGCTTCTGTAAAGATTACAGCCAAGGAAACTTCACAGAGTAGTGCTACTCTGACACTTGGGATCTATGAGTCAAAATGAATTTGATAGCACCTAACAACAACAACAACCTGTAATGTAATAATTGATACATGCAATGATTATCAATGGTTGCTGCAATCTACTAGTGTCAGACCTTGTCTACATCCATGAGGGACAAAAATCAAGTTAGCACAAAGCTGATTCCTTTGAGGTGGAAGTCATACCTACCTCCACTCTCCAACTTATTCACCATTTCTGACACTAGCTGCCTCCCCTTGCCCCCCAGTGCTCTTTACTGCTTTTCTGGGTTTGATAATTCATTGCATTGGCCACACAGAACTCACAGTCCATACTCACAATTATGTTGTTTATTAGAGAAGTAATAGGCTACAAGTTGTAATCAAGATCAATTTGGGTATAACAGGATACAATTCTGGAAACGGATACAGTTCTTAATCAGGAAACTTTAACCAACAGCTTTCAGCATTTTTTTTTCAGCCATGCTTGTAGGCCCTTCTCTCTGCAGTGCCCTCTGCTGGGCCTTCTCTCAGGTCTCTGCCACCAGGCCCTGCTTAGGCCTCTGTCCTCCTCAGTCAAGTGTTAAAACTCAATAGCTCTGACAAGTATCCAGAGGCACCCCGCTCCTCAAGCTAGCCTCCAGCCTGAAGGCACTTAGCTCACTCTCACACCATTGGTCAGCAAGCCCACTGTGGCCACCTCACACCAGTCACCTATTTTCTTCAACTCATACTGCAGCCACCACTTCTCTGCCACTGGACTCTGTTATGACTCTGCCACCATTTCCTGCCATCTCACATTGTCTCCAGTGTGACAGCTCTCTTCTCTCTCTCTCTCTCCTGTGTTTAGGAGATTCTAAGCACAGGGACCCTGGGTCCAAAGGATGTGTTCCACTCTAGACT